ACTCCATCGCCACAAAAGGCTCAAGCAGAGTCAACAGGGTAGTGGTAGCAGTCGACTCACCGCAGTGAAGTCACCACAGTAAATCGATCGAAGTACATTGACTTCAGCTACATTATGCACGTAGCTGAAGTTGCATAACTTAGATTGATCCTCCCCTCTTAGGGTAGACCAGGGCTGAGAGGCTTCTGTTGGAACTCTACTGGGCATGTCCTACTGGGCGGAGGCCCTGAGGCCAACCCAGGACATGCTGGAGGGATTAGATCTCCTGGCTGGCCTGGGAACGTTGGTGAATCCCCCAGGAGGAGCTGGAACCTGTTGTGGAGAAAAAGGTCTGGTCCTCGCTACTCTCCCTGTTGCCACCATGACCCTCATTAGGAAAAGCTGCATAAAGGAAAAAGAAGAAGACAATGACTAAGTCCTTGTCTGCACTACAAAATTAAGTTGAGATAAGTTGGGTGGACATACAGCCACTGCAGTAATTACTGCAGTGGTTCATGTTCACACTATATCCCCTCTGTCGGTGGGGGTGTAGTGTGGACAGCCAACAGGCAATGTAAATAACACAGTGTCTACACATACACTATGCTGCCCTCACTGCATCGACCTAAGTGCTACAACTCTTGTGGAGATGGAGTTGTTAGGTCAGGGTAGTGGTCAACTTACATTGACAGAAGCAGCATTGTAGTGTAGTACTAATTCTGTGTTGTAGACCAAGATGAAGCTCCAAATCCTGCAACTGCTTCTGAGAGTGCACACACCCCCAAATCTGACCAGAGCCACTTGCAGAATCAGGACCTAAGAAATTACTATAGCTGAAAAATGGTATTATAGCAATAACTGCTAGTATTATAGCAATAACTCCAAAACATTCATTGCAGTTTTGAGGTACACAATTTCAGGCACCAAATTACTGCTCAAAAGAAGAGGGAGCCCTAGGGATACTGTGTCCTTGAAAAATGTCTCTGAATATCAGACAGTAACTTTTTTATTCTGAACCAATTGTCTCTCTTGGAAATGAGTGAAGAAGCACAAATGAGAAAAGAACCACTTTTTCTCAACAAAAAGGAAAGATTTAGGGTACAAATGTTTCTCCGGTGCTTTGCCCCTGTTATCATGCTAATATAAAAGCCTAGTCCTATAGCTCATATTTGTTGTTTGCCAGACGCATCCAGATAAGGGCTCACTGAACAGCTGGGTGGAAGTAGGCAAAAAAATCCCATAGCAGAGAACTGAAAATTGAACAGAATCAAAGGGAATGTAAAAAAAAAGAAAACAGCCCTCATTAAAATGCCTTATGAAAAAAGTTATTTGTTTTAAAGTAACAATTTTTGTTTCTGTCAAACAGGAAGATTTTGGTTTTTTTTAAATTTTAAGTGGCTAATTAAATACAAAGGTGGTTTTTTTTCCATTTAGCTATAAAGTTGTTTTCCCCCTCCCTCTCCAAGAATGGACAGATGGCATTTATGTGTACGTTTCATTTGCAAACGTCTCTTTGGCATGATTGACGAAAGAACAGAGTTGTGTGAGTAATATTTAGAAGTTCCTTTCAATTTTAGCCACTGGAATATCAGGTATTCTTCACTGAATGGCTACAAGTTATTGACTAAACTCAGTTTATTTAAGAACCTCAAGTTTCACTTACTTTGAAGTTGGAGAAGTGAAACATTTGTTTCTTATGGAGCTGCAATACAATAGATAAAGACTGTAAATAACACTTTACAGTATAACATCTCCCCATTCTGAGAAGTACAATGTTAATTTTGTAGATTCCAAGGCCAGAAGGAACCATTGTGATCATCTAGTCTGTCCTCCTATATAGCACAGGCTATAGATAATAATTCCTAAATAATTCCCAAAATAATTCCTAAAGCATATGTTTTAGAAGAACATCCAACCTTGATTTTAAAATTGTCAGTGACAGAGAATACACAGGAACCTTGGTAAACTACTCTCACTGTTAAAAATGTATGTCTTATTTCCAGTCTGAATTTGTTTAGCTTCAACTTCCAGTCATTGGATTGTGTTATACCTTTCTCTACTATTAAATATATGTCCCCCAGGTGGATATTCATAGACAGTAATCAAGTCACCCCCTAACCTTCTCTTTGTTAAACTAAATAGTGTAAGATCCTTAAGTCTATCACTATGGGTATGTCTACACAGCAAAGAAAAGCCATGGCTGACCTGTGTAGATGTACCCCACAAGGTATGTTCTCTAATCCTTTAATCATTATCAAGGCTCTTCTCTGAACCCTTTCCAATTTATCAATATCTTTCCCAATTGTGGGCACCAGAACTGGACACAGTGTTTCAGCAGTGCTTGCATGAGTGCCAAACACAGAGGTAAAATACTCCTACTCAAGATTTCCACCCAAGATTGGATTCATTTTTTCAGCCACATCATTTCACTGGGAGCTGATTATCTTTTTTTAGAGTCATTGTTTCTGTGGGATACAGTCCCCCATCCTGTAAGTATGGCCTACATTTTTTGTTCCTAGATGCACTTACATCTAGCCATATTAAAACACATTTTATTTTCTTGCACCTAGTTTACCTAATGATCTAAATCACTCTTAAACAGTGATCTGTCTTCATTATTTACCTCTCCCTCCAGTTCGTATGTCATCTGAAAACTTTATTGGTGATTATTTTATGTTTGCTTCCAGGTCATTGATAAAAATGTTAAATAGTGTAGGGCCAAGAATGATCCCTGTGAGACCCTGCTAGAAACACACCCACTTGATGACAATGCCCCATTTACAGTTACATTGTGAACCCTATTTTAAAACCATTTAATGTGTGTCATGTTAATTTTATATCATTTTAGCTTTTTGATTAAAGTTTCATGTGGTACAAGTCAATGACATACAGAAGTCTAAGTACATTACGTCCACACTGTTACCTTTATCAACCAAACTTGTAATCTTATTAGAAAAAAAAAAAGATATCAAGTTAGTTTGGCAGGATCTATTTCCATAAACCTTTTGATTTGCATTAATTACATTATCCTCCTTTAATTCTTTATTAATTGAGTCCTGTCTCAGCAGCTCTATTATCTTGCCTGGGATCAATGTCAGGCTGACAAGTTTATAATTACCCAGGTCACCTGCTTTACCATTTTTTAAAACTTACACATTAGCTTCATCCAGTCTTATGGAACTTCCCTAATGCTCCAAGACTTATTGGAAATCAATATTAACAGTCCAGTGAACTCCTCAGCCAGCTCTTTTAAAACACCTGGATGCAAGTTACCTGGATCTGCTGATTTAAAAATGTCTAATATTAGCAGCTTCTGTTTAACATCCTCTAGTGATAATAGTGGAATGGAAAGTGTGTTATCACTACCATATGATGAGACTGATTCATCTGTTTTTTTCACAAATATGGAACAGAAATATTTATTGAGCACTTCTGCCTTTTCTGCATTATTATTGATAATTCTACAATTTCCATCTAAATACAATTGTTAGGATTCCTTTTTGTTACCAATATATTTAAAAAAACATCCTTCTTATTATATTTAATTCTTCTGACCATATATTTCTCCTCGTGTCCATTTGCTTCACTTATCAATTTTCTACAATTTCTAACTTCTGATTTATATTCATTACTATCAACTTCCCCCTTTTCACACATTTGTTTATATTATATATAACTGGTTTAGAGGGGAAGTGAAGTTGTGTGTATGAGTATGTAATATAGATGGAAAGTTTTTCCTAATATCTAATCTAATCTAATATCTAGTTTTTCCTAATATCTAATCTAAGGCCTGGTCTACACTAGGTGGGGGGGATCGATCTAAGTTACACAACTTCAGCTATGTGAATAAGGTAGCTGAAGTTGAAGTACTTAGACCTACTCACTATGGTGTCTTCACTACGGTGAGTCAACTTGCTGCTGCTCCCCCATCAACTCTGCCTGCACCTCTTGTGGTGCTGTAGTACAGGAGTCGACAGGAGAGCACTCAGGGGTTGATTTATCACATCTAGACTAGATGCGATAAGTCGACCCCTACTGGATCGATCGCTGCCCACCTATCCAGCTGGTAGTATAGATATACCCTGAGTCTCTCCTGCTCCAGATTAAGCTGATTGCTTCTTGTTCTACATTCAATGGACATGGAGAACAATCAATCAACATCCTTTTTATAACAGCCTTTAATATATCTGAAGACCCATCAGGTCCCTGATCAGTCTTCTTTTCTCAAGAATATGAGCCAGACACCTATTAGTAATAACTGGCAAGGGGCAGAGAGGAGATGGAGAGCGGTTACAGGAAACTCCTGAGCCATGCCTCCTCTGCCACTATGGGCATGTCTACACTTACCTCCGGAGCAATCGATCCAGTAGGGGTTGATTTATCACGTCTAGTGAAGATGCGATAAATCGACCGCTGAGCACTCTCCCGTTGACTCCAGTACTCCACTGGAGCAAGAAGCTTAGGAGGAGGAGTTGACGGGGGAGCGTCAGCAGTCAGCCTACGGCAGTGACGACGCTGCGGTAAGTAGTTCTAAGTATGTCGACTTCAGCTACGCTATGTTCGTAGCTGAATTTGCGTAACTTAGACTGACTTAACTGCCCTCCCCCTTTCTCTCAGTGTAGACCAGGCCTATCTGTGCTACGGTGGCTACACTGATATTTACACTCATGCTAACTCGATGAGAACTAGTGTGAATATGCATTCACAAGCAGGGAAATAACACCTCTAGCTCGAAGTGTAGAAATAATCTAAGTGTAGTACTTTACACTTGTCTGTATTGAATTTCATCTTATTTATTTCAGACCAGTTCTCCAATTTGTCAAGGTTATTTTGAATTCTAATCCTGCCCACCCAAGTGCCAGCAGTCTCTCCCAGATTGGTGTCATCTGCAAATTTTAAAGCATACTCTCTACTCCATTATCCAAGTCATTAATGGAAATATTGACTAGCATCAGACTAAGGACAGACCCCTGCAGGGCCTGTTGTAACAAATGGGCCTTAAAATGTACTCTAATTTGTGGCGGTTCAGTGATGAGACAGAACACAGCTTTTTGCAAGCAGGCAGGCTGGTCAGCTGAGATGGGCGTTCTCTGCCCCCCCGCCTTCCACCTTCTCCTTTTATTATATTTCTCCCCCCTAAGCATTACACACTGCTACCGCAAAAAGATACACAAAGGAATGTATGACGTTGATTAATATACTCAGTTGCATCTTTTATATACTACAATCCTGGTTCTCAGGCCTTGAGCCCAGGCTAAGAAAGCCTCCCACAATTACTGTCCAAACAATCAAGTTCTCATGGTTCATATCTAGCCCTTGTCCTTGGATAGAGCAATGTGTGCATTGCTTCTACGAAACAGTCAGGGTGTGCCCCGCCTGCTTCTAGGTGGACTAGCTAAACATTAACCCTTCATCTCCCCGTTTTTTATTTATTAATATTTGGCCATCTCATGGTAGCCGTCAATTTGTTTTGTCATGCTATTTAACTCCCAGACAGACAAGGACATAACCTGGGGAGCTTTCCAGGGCAAAATTTTACAAAATCTTAACAAGGAAAGAATACATTGTACACAGCAGCAGCAAAAAATAAGCCCAATGATTACAAACACAAAATAACCAAAAGCTCAACATCTGCAATATAATCATCTAAAAGGGGTACACTTCTTTTAGGAAATAGCAGGCACAAAAGGCACACAATCATCACAGAATTAGCAGTGATTTGGGCGAGAATCGCCACAAACAAAGTCTCAGGAGTCTCTGGCTGTTGATCTGCTGCCAGTCTTCGTTGAGCCGCGGCGACCAATGCTTTTACTGCTCCCCATGTCATGGGCTGGCTTGGGACGCTACGCCTCCTCCGTTTCCGTCCCGTCGTTGTCGACTCGGGGGGCAACGCGGTCTCCTCCAAGGTCAGCTGAAACTCTGGTATGGGATTCGACAGTCCCTGGTGCCATGCCATGTTGTTTAAGTGCCGGTCGCACACACCGAGCTGGAACCCACAACGGTCCTGCAGGGAGAGACACAGCAGCATATCCCCGACCCCAAGTGATTAGAGGTACTGGGCCCAGCCACTGTGGATCGGGCAGCTGACAGTAATAGACACGTGGTCTTTCCAGTACCTCAGATTTGTGAAAATGCCGATCCGCGGGGGTCTGCTGATCTGCATTCAGTGTTAAATTATTTAAAGTAAACAAGAGGATATGCATTTGTTGTTAAATGTCTCCTAAGGTTCGGAGACGCAGCTCCCCTTGTTTTAATTGTTTATCTAGCAAGGTTTTGAGTGTGCGATTGGCACGTTCAACAATGGCTTGGCCCGTGAAATTATAAGGGATTCCGTGTGTAAGACGGACGTCCCAGCGGGCACAAAAGGTGGGGAGGGCTGCAGAGCAGTAGGCTGGGGCATATCTGTTTTAATTTGGCAGGGGCGACCCATAACAAAAAGGCAGGCCAGCAAATGGTGAATAACTTTGTTAGTGGCTTCCCCACGTTGTGGGGAAGCCCCAAAAAAAACTTAAATAAGTATCAACGGAAACATGTAAAAACAAATAGGGGCGGAATTGTGGCACATGAGTAACATCCATCTGCCACAGCTGATTTGCTGCGGTACCTCGGGGGTTAACGGCATAAGAAAAAGTAGGAGCAGCAGCAGCACAGTGGGGACAGGAACGAAAAACGGAACGTGCATGATCAGCAGGAATGTGAAACTGCCGGGCCAAAACAGAGGCAGACTGATGAAAAAAGGCATGGCTTTCAATGGGGTCAGAAAAAAGGGAATTTACCTGACCACGCAACGCGCGACCGGCGCGTGCATTGCCCTCAGTGAGTGGCCCAGGCAGAGGGGTATGACTGCAAATATGAGCAACAAAATAAGGGAAATGACAAGTGGCAAAAAGGTGCTGCAAAAACAAAAACAGGCGAAGGAGGTCTGCATCAACCTGAGGGGTAATGAGGGCAAGGGGTAAATGATCAATTACCTAATAAACATAATAGGTATCCACGATTAAATTAAAGGGACAATCAGCAAAAGGTTGAAAGGCCAAAATAACAGCAGCTAATTCTGAGGGCAAAGGGGGATGGTAAAAAAAAACAATCTTTTAAATCTAACACACTAAGTTGATCGGTTTGAGGAATTAAATTTGGATTTGGTAAGCCAAATTGCAAGGGGCCCATAGGTTGGATGCGTTTATTTATTTCCCTTAAATCATGTAACAGTCGCCAAGCACCCGATTTTTTCTTAATAACGAACACCGGGGTGTTCCAGGGACTAGTGGAGCTCTCCAGTCGCTGTGCTTGCAAATGCTGCTGCACAAGCGAATGAAGTGCTTTTAGCTTTTTTAGAGGGAGGGGCCACTGATCAATCCATACGGGCTCTAAGGATTGCCATACCAAGGGTAAGGCGGAGGGCACGGTGGGTGAGGGAGGGGTTTGGGCCATCAGATGTTAATATCGAGGGTGGTGTCTAACTTTGTAAGTAAATCACGGCCCCAAATATTGAGGTGGACAGGGAGCACAAAAGGGCGGATAGTAGCAAGGGTACGGCCTCCCGGTTTAGAGACCGTGACCCAAGACAAACTTTGGCGCCTGGGTTTACTACCCCCGATCCCCCACAATTCTTTAGAAGGAACTGTAGGCCAATTAACCGGCCACTCCAGATCACAAATCACCGTAACGTCAGCTCCAGTGTCCACCAGCCCTGTAAAAGGAACATCATCTAAGAGAAGTGTTAGCTGAGGCTTCGAGGGGCGGACTGACATTGTCAGAGCAACAAGTGGAGAAGACGCGCTGTGAGACGGCGAGTGAGACAACGTCGATCCAAAGCCGCCTCCGCCCCGAGTTCGATCCTCGGCAGCTGGCACCTGATAGGGGACTAAAATCAATTGTGCAATTGACCGTCCACGCGGGAGCGACTGTGGAAGATGAGTCCACACCTGAACCTTAATAATGCCAGTGTAATCAGCATCAATGACCCCTGGAATGACAAAAAAAGCCCTGTTTCCCAGCATGTGAGCGAGGGAGAACAAGACCTACAAAGCCGGCAGGGAGAGGTCCCGTCACCTGTGTAGGTATGGCACAGACCTCCCCTGGCAGCCGAAAGTCAGTGTCCTCCTGCATGATCAAATCAAGCCCTGCACTTCCAGCAGTCGCCGCCCTCATAGAGTCTACGGATTCCAAGGCAGAGGAGCGATTGCCTGAGTAGGAAACACCCCCATTTGGCCCTGGGTTCGGGGGGGACCCGTCGCGCGGTTTCCCGGCCCGCTACGACACTGATTAGCCCAGTGATAACCTTTCCCACACTTGGGGCACTTCTTTGAGGGTCGGGCTGGTGCCTTAGATGAGTGGCACTCCTGCTGAAAATGACCCTCCTTACCACAGCGGTAACAACGCTTCCCCTCCTTCCCAGTTTTTCTGAGGGCGGCAGCCAGAACTCCAGCCTTGTGGGCTTGTGTGCCAATGTTCTGGCACGCCTGCAGCATGTCTGAGAGCTCTAAAATACCAGAGGCTTGTGCTGCCTGGAGAGCACGGCGGCAATCCTCGTTTGCATTTTCAACTGCCAATTTTAACAGGAGCTCGTGAGCTGCCTCAGTGTTATCCACCTGCCGGAGGATAGCCTCATGCAATCTGTTGGTAAAATCCAAAAAGGACTCTGAGGCACCCTGACGGATACTGACAAAGCTTTTGGTAGGCTTGCCTGAATCCGGGACCTTCTTGAAAGCATGCTGGGCACAGGTGGAAATAATGGGGAAGACAGCCTGAGGGAGTTGAGACTGCATCTGAATAGTAGCAAACGGGCCCTCCCCTGCCAATTGCTCATAAATGATACCGTGCGCTGCATGTACCTGAGCTTGGCGTTCTGCCATCTGCCGATACTCACTAAGCCAAATAACATACTGACTAGGTGACAACATCATGCGCAGCAGCGTTTTCCAATCCTCAGGGATTAGGGAGTACCCAGTACCTATCCCTTCAACAAGACCACGCACAAAGGTGCTAGTCAGGCCAAACTCACGAATTGCTTTCCTCACCTCTCTAACCACCGAGTATGACAAAGTGGTCCAGGTGCCCACGGGGTTGCCCTGGTCATCATTCTGCCAGGTCACCGGGCAAACTGAGACCAGATCAGCCAGCTCCTCCGCTGTAAGATCTGATCGAGCTTTCGCTGCGTGAACCATTTGTTGCACCAGCGAAAGCTTCTGAGCAGATGCAGATGACCCTCCGGGGGGGCCCCACGGGGGAGGGGGTGATCACACACCGGCTCCGGTGGGGAAGGCCAGGGAGGCGGTGGTAATAGAGGCTCTGGGGGCAAAGCAGGGGGAGGGATGGCTGCAGGAGCGGACGGGGGCGGCGGGATCGGCAGCCCCTCTGTTGGTGCTGGAGAGGGCCTTTCCGAGGCGACACTCTGTGTCGCATCGCCAGGAGGGGGGATGGCTGCAGGAGCAGACGGGCGTGGTGAGATCACCAGCCTCGCGAGGGAGGGCCTGTCGGAGGCGACACGCTGTACCACATCGCGGCAGAGGTGCCAGGCATGTAAAGCCTGCACGGGCGCCCGAGGCTCTTTGTGCAATGTCTGGCCCAATCGCTCCCAGTCTGCTAGCTTAAGGCTTCCGGCTTCAGGATACCACGGGCACTTGGCACACACCTCCTGTAGCAGGAGAGTAAGTGCTCGAGCCGGGCAGTCATGCTGAGCCTTACGCAGCAAATACTGCAGCTCATTGCGGTGTTGCACTTGCAAAGCAGAGAGGGAGCTTCCCATACTTACCACAATGAAAAATACTCACCGGGATCCACAAAGCGGATGAGTGACGCGTCTGAAACCCTTGCCGGGCGAGGTGAGTGCTGAGGGCCCCACGTTGGGCGCCAGTTGTGGCGGTTCAGTGATGAGACAGAACACAGCTTTTTGCAAGCAGGCAGGCTGGTCAGCTGAGATGGGCGTTCTCTGCCCCCCCGCCTTCCACCTTCTCCTTTTATTATATTTCTCCCCCCTAAGCATTACACACTGCTACCGCAAAAAGATACACAAAGGAATGTATGACGTTGATTAATATACTTAGTTGCATCTTTTATATACTACAATCCTGGTTCTCAGGCCTTGAGCCCAGGCTAAGAAAGCCTCCCACAATTACTGTCCAAACAATCAAGTTCTCATGGTTCATATCTAGCCCTTGTCCTTGGATAGAGCAATGTGTGCATTGCTTCTACGAAACAGTCAGGGTGTGCCCCGCCTGCTTCTAGGTGGACTAGCTAAACATTAACCCTTCACTAATTGTAATACTCAATGTGAAAAGTATGTGAAAGTTCATAAAATATCTCTATAACAACAAATGTTGATAGGAAAAGGTAAAAATGGGAGACAAACTGAATTCTTCTAACTGAAAAAGACCTACTGATATAATTCAGGGACTTAATTGAAATCATGCTGTGGCACTGGAAATTAATGAACCGAATGAAGTCAGGCCTAACTGGTGTACAAATAAAGGGACTGGCTATTCCACCTGTAGCGGGATGGTCACCCACTGCTGCCGGGAAGGGCTTAAAACTGCCTTGGGAGAGGGCTGGGGCAGGGGAAAAGCTGGGCTGATTGGGAGACAGCCTCAGGTGTGGCCATGCCCCAAACAGACCCAGCTGGCCCTATAAAAGCCAGGGAAGCCAGGAGCAGAGAAACTCTCCCTCTACCTTGCTGAGGGAGAGGGGCCTGGCTGCTGGGAAGCTGAGAGAGCACCTGAGGTGGAGCAGGGCTGGGGGAAGGCCAGAGGAGATGGGGGAGTTCTGGCCTGGAAAACCCCCAGGCTGCAAGCCTAGAGTAAGGCCACATAGGTACTGGGGTTTCAGAGGGCAGCCCAAGGGGTAGGCAGAAGCAGCAGGTCCAAACCCCCCTTCCCTATGATGAGTGGTGCTTACACTGCAGTCGGCCCCAGGGAACAGGGGCTAGGTGATGACTGGCAGTGGCCATAGACTGAGGCAAGGTGGGGGAGAGGGTTGGGGGCTCCCTGGGGAGGGGAGACCCAGATCTGTGTGGGGTACTGCAGGTGGCAGAATCCCAGCATGAAAGGGGGCATGCAGGTCCAGGAGGTATTCAGGGCCTAGTGGCAGTGGGACACCGGCTTGCAGAGGGCGCTCTGGAGGCTGGAATGTTAATTCCCTGGATGACCAGCAGGAGGCGCCGCAGGGGTGAGTCTTGCATCGCTACACCACCCATCACTTTATTTCTGGGTCCTAAAGAAAGACTTTGCAGGGAAAAGATGGAAGAACAGACAGAGGCTACTGGAGTAAGCTTCAATATTATGGCTGCCACCCCTATCATCTCCTGGGACCCCGAACCTTCTTTTGTCCTAATCCTGAGGGATGTCCTGACCAGCCCAGAGAAAGAGATCCAGACTACATCACCATCCCTACCAACTCCCACTGAATCCTAAATGCTACCTGAGATAAAACGGGACCAGACTTTAACAGCAGCATCAACAACAGCTCCAGTTTGTCTCAACTAACTTCTTCTCTTTTCCCTAAAAGGAGTTAATCACATCTTTGATACCATCTAAGAGACTGTCAAACAATCAGGTTTTTCCTTCTCAAAACTCTCTAGCTAAAAGGGAAAAAGAACAAGAAATGTGGTTAAAATGAAAGCCTTATTTAATAATTTACATTTCAAAGGCTTTAAACTGTTTTTCTTTCTTATCTGTATCTTTAATAAAAGGTTAAAAGGATTTTTAATGGTGTGTTTGACATGGTACTAAGCAGGCTGAGGTCTCCGAATACCAAACTTTGTTTAATACTATTTAATGTTGGACTGTGACTGGGTCATGTTAACACCTTTGGCCTATTTGTTCCATTTAAATTAATACAACAGACCCTGCTAAATACTTTCTCCTAGTGAACCATTGATAATTAGTCTTTGACTACAGTCTCTAAGTCAGTTATGCACTCTTTGTACAGTAACATCATCTAAACCATCTTTCCCTAGTTGCTAAAGAGAATGTTATATGGGAGTCTGTCAAAAGCCTTACCAAAATCAAGATATATCACATCTACAGTTCCCTCCCTATATCTACTGGGCCAGTAACCTTGTTTCATAGACTACACTGAGAACTAAAATAATTGTGAACATTTAATCTCAAAAACATTTATATGCACCGTAAAGTCCTACTCCTACCCAGGTTTTCTCAGTGGAAATACTAATGATGAGGCGAACCATGGTAAAGCATGACATGGCTTTGGGATGCCATGTGTCAGCACAACCAGTGTTTAAATGGCATCAGAATAAATAATTACACATAGAGTAATTTAAAATTACTCAGGCAATTTTTATTCATTTAATAAACCAAGGAAATTCCATGCTGAACACTAGATAAATGCAATAATCAGGTAGAGAAGTCAAAAGTAATTTATACAACATGAAGTCATAGTTAAGAATACTGCTACCCTCTGGGTGTCTTTCCTCTGGATGCCTTGGTTTCTGTCATGGTTGCCTCTTTTTTAACTAACTTTACACCCGAGAGTTAGAAATAAAACAAAGAAACAAAAACTTGGCTTGTCAAAAAAAAAAAAATAGGTTGTGCTGTAACTGGATATCTATGTTCTCTGAAAGTGGTTGCCAGCCTACAGAAAAATCCTTTAAAAAACCCTAACACCTTTGTCTCCAGGCAAATAGACAGAAAAAGCCGCTAGTTGCTCTTAGATTAAAAAAAACAACCCATCTCTTCAGGTCTGTGAAGACTTGTGAATTTCCCTGCAGGAGGTTACTACTCTGCCTTCAGGTAGAGAAAACTCCAGCTCACAAAAGACAATTCCCTTTTGTCTCTGCTCTGGCCCCCAAGCAGAGACAAAAAAACTCTAACTGCTTTCAGCTTAAAACCTGCTTTCCAGCAGCCCAAAGGGGAAAAAATGGTCCTTTTTTAAAATCTGTGCTTCTTGTTCAAAATATCTCAAAATGATGTCAAGTTAATCCCACTGCTCTGCCACTATGTCAAGGTTCCTTCCCCTCTCTGAACTCTAGGGTACAGATGTGGAGACCTGCATGAAAAAAACCCTCAGATTATTCTTACCAGCTTAGGTTAAAACTTCCCCAAGGTACAAACTATTTTACCTTTTGTCCCTGGACTTCATTGCTGCCACCACCAAGCGTCTAACAAATATATAACAGGGAAAGAGCCCGCTTGGAAACATCTTTCCCCCCAGAATCCTCCCAAGCCCTACACTCCCTTTCCTGAGGAAGGCTTGATAAAAATCCTCACCAATTTG